TATATATAATCAATTGGTTTTCCCCCTCTCCCCTTTCAAAAAAAAAAAAGTAGCATAGTTATAAAAATTCATTTTATTTTTTATTTTATTATTTCAATTTCTTCTTTTTTTCTCTCTCTTAAATAATTATGGTATCTATCGTCGAACTTGAACAAAATAATAATCAACAAAAGCATCAAGAAGAAGAATATCAAGAGAATATTAAAGAACCTGTTAATACATCTTGGGCTAATACTATCCCTCCTAAACAAGCCCTTTACAATCCTGATTATGAAAAAGATGCTTGCGGTGTCGGTTTCATCGTGCACATTAAAGGTGCTCCATCTTATAAAATTCTTAGCGATGCTAGAGGTATTCTCTGTAACATGACTCATAGAGGTGCCGTTGGTGCCGATGCTAGAGATGGTGATGGTGCTGGTATTATGACTGGAATACCTCATGAATTTTTTCTTCAAGAATGTGCAAGATTAGATATACAATTACCTCCACAAGGTCAATACGCTGTTGGTAACGTGTTTTTTAAACCCGAACCTGCCGTTATGGAAGATAGTAAAAAAACTTTTGAACAGATCGCTAAAAGTTTAAATTTAAAAGTTTTGGGTTGGCGTGAAGTTCCAAAAGATAATTCTATACTCGGTCCTGCCGCAAAATCACGTGAACCAATGATTTTACAACCTTTCGTTGTTTTAAAAGATTCTACCAATAATTTTGATGAAACTTATTTTGCTCGTCAACTTTACGTTCTTAGGAAACAAGCCACTCACACAATCACTGTAAAGAGATGGTTTTATATTTGTTCTTTATCAAACAAAAATATTGTTTATAAAGGTCAATTAAGTCCTGTACAAGTTTATAATTATTTTCATGATTTGAATAATGTTGCTTATAAAACTCATTTTTCTTTGGTTCATTCTCGTTTCTCTACAAATACTTTTCCTTCTTGGGATCGTTCTCAACCTATGAGATGGGCTGCTCATAATGGTGAAATTAATACTTTACGTGGTAATAAAAATTGGATGAGAGCTCGTGAAGGAATAATGAAATCTGATTTATTCGGTTCTGAATTAGAACAATTATATCCTATTATTGAAGAAGGTGGTTCGGATTCTGCCGCTTTTGATAATGTTTTAGAATTACTTGTTATTAATGGGGTTTTAACTTTACCTCAAGCTGTTATGATGATGATTCCTGAAGCTTGGCAAAATAATCCTTTAATGGAACCTGAAAAACGTGCTTTTTATCAATGGGCTGCTTGTTTAATGGAACCTTGGGATGGTCCTGCTTTATTCACTTTTAGTGATGGTCGTTATTGTGGTGCAAGTTTGGATCGTAATGGTTTACGTCCATGTCGTTTTTATATTACAAGTGATGATTTAATGATTTGTGCTTCAGAAGTTGGTACAATATTTATTGAACCTGAACGTATCGTACAAAAAGGTCGTTTACAACCTGGTAAAATGTTGTTGGTAGATACTGAAGAAGGTCGTGTAGTAGATGATCGTGAATTAAAATTAGCAACTGCAAGTCGTGAAAATTTTCATTCTTGGATTGAAAAACAAATAATTACTCTTGATAGTGTTATTGAAAAAGTTAAAATGACTGGAAATGGTATTTCTGTAGAATTGGATAATACAAGTATCTCTGAAGATCCAAGATTACGTGCTTTCGGTTATACTATCGAACAATTAAATTTACTCGTCTTACCAATGGTATGTATATATATATAAATAAATATTTATATTTAATTTTGTCATAATATATATTAAAAACATCTTTTTTTTTATTTTGTTTAGACAAAAGATGGAAAAGAAGCTCTTGGTTCTATGGGAAATGATGCACCTTTGGCCTGTCTTTCAAATCAACCACGTTTAATTTATGATTATTTCCGTCAACTTTTCGCTCAAGTTACAAATCCTCCAATTGATCCAATTCGTGAAGAAATTGTCATGTCATTAGAATGTTATGTTGGACCTGAAGGAAATATATTAGAAATTAATGAACAACAAACTCATAGACTTGCTTTACCTTCTCCTATATTATCAATTGATGAATTAAATGCCATCAAACGAATGGAAAAAGTGGAATCAAATTGGAGTGTTTGTACTATTGATATTACTTTTTCAAAGAGTGAAGGAGTTAGTGGATATTTATTAGCTTTAGAGCGTGTTTGTGCTGAAGTTTCTCAAGCTATTCAAGAAGGTTTTAAAGTTGTAGTTCTTTCAGATGCTGCTGTTAATCCTGAAAATGTCTCGATTTCTTCATTAATTGCCGTAGGAGGTGTACATCATTATCTTGTTCGTAACAAACAACGTTCAAAGATTGCTCTTATTATTGAAACTGCTGAAGCAAGAGAAGTTCATCATGTTTGCGTACTTTTAGGTTATGGTGCTGATGCTATTTGTCCTTATTTGGCAATGGAAGCTATATTGAAACTCAAACGTGAAAATGCAATTAGTGGTGATTTATCGAATGATAAAATTATTCATAATTATAAGACAGCCATAAATAATGGTATCTTAAAAGTCATGTCAAAAATGGGAATTTCCACATTACAAAGTTACAAAGGTGCTCAAATTTTTGAAGCTTTGGGTCTCGACGAAAGTGTCATCGCTCGATGCTTTGCAGGTACAGCTTCTAGGATAAAAGGAACAACATTCGACATTTTAGCTACGGATGCACTCTCATTCCATGAACGTGGTTATCCAACACGAGACACAATTGTTCCACCAGGTTTACCAGAATCTGGAGAATATCATTGGCGTGATGGTGGTGAAGCTCATGTTAATGATCCTACTGGTGTTGCTAGTTTACAAGATGCTGTTCGTACAAAAAATCAATCTTCTTATGATAAATATGCAAGTAATGCTTATGAACAAATTAAAAGCTGTACTTTACGTGGTCTTTTAGATTTCGATTTTGACCATTCTAAATCAATTCCTTTGGAAAAAGTTGAACCTTGGACAGAAATTGTTAAACGTTTTTGTACTGGTGCAATGTCATATGGTTCTATCTCAATGGAGTCTCATTCAACTTTAGCTATTGCAATGAATAGATTAGGAGGAAAATCAAATACTGGCGAGGGTGGTGAGGTTAGTATTTGTGTAGAAATTGTTATTCCTCGTATCCAGTTTTTTTTTTTTAAATCTAATAATTATTATTATTATTTTAGGATCCTGAACGTTCAAATGTACTACCTAACGGAGATTCTATGCGAAGTGCTATCAAACAAGTAGCTTCTGGACGCTTTGGTGTAACTTCTTTCTACCTTTCTGATTCAGATGAACTTCAAATTAAAATGGCTCAAGGTGCCAAACCTGGTGAAGGAGGAGGTAAATTAATATAATATTAATATATGTATATATGAAATTATCTCAGAATTTTTGAAAACGTGAATTTAAATATTTTGTCATTTTGTTCTTTAGAATTACCTGGTCATAAAGTTTCCGAGAATATTGGAAAAACAAGAAAATCAACTCCTGGTGTTGGTTTGATTTCTCCACCACCACATCACGATATCTACTCAATTGAAGATTTGAAACAATTGATTTATGATCTTAAGTGTTCTAATCCTCGAGCTCGCGTATCTGTAAAATTAGTTTCGGAAGTTGGTGTTGGTATCGTTGCTTCCGGTGTTGCAAAAGCAAAAGCTGATCATATTTTAATTTCTGGTCATGATGGTGGTACTGGTGCTTCACGTTGGACGGGTATCAAATATGCTGGTCTTCCTTGGGAATTAGGTCTTGCAGAAACACATCAAACTTTAGTTTTAAATGATTTACGTGGACGTGTAGTTGTTCAAACCGACGGACAAATCAGAACAGGACGTGATGTTGCCATAGCTTGTTTACTAGGTGCTGAAGAATGGGGTTTTGCTACTACACCTTTAATTGCAACTGGTTGTATTATGATGAGAAAATGTCATTTGAACACTTGCCCTGTTGGTATTGCTACTCAAGATCCTGAATTACGCAAAAAATTCGAAGGAAAACCAGAACACGTAGTAAATTTCTTTTATTACGTTGCTGAAGAATGTCGTCAAATTATGGCAAAACTTGGTTTCCGAACAATCAATGAAATGGTTGGCCGAACTGATAAACTTAAAATTAATGAAACTGTTAGAAATACAAACGCAAAAACTGCAAATATCGACCTTACACCAATTTTAACTCCAGCATTCACTTTACGTCCTGGTGTTGTAACTTGCAATACGGATAAACAAGATCACAAACTTTATGTTCGTTTGGATAATAAACTTATTGACGAATCCGATTTAGCATTAACAAAGAGAAAACCTGTAAAAATCAGTTGTAATATCGTCAATACTGATCGTGCTCTTGGTACAACTTTATCATATCATATTTCAAGAATATTTGGAGAGGCTGGATTACCTGATGATACAATTCACGTCAACATAAAAGGATCCGCAGGTCAATCATTTGGTGCCTTCTTGGCTTCTGGTGTTACTCTTGAATTAGAAGGTGATGCAAATGATTATGTAGGAAAAGGTCTTTCAGGAGGTCGTATAATAGTTTACCCACCAAGATCCTCAACTTTCAAATCTGAAGAAAATATTATTGTTGGTAATGTATGTTTATATGGTGCCACAGGTGGTGTTGCATTCTTCCGTGGTATAGCAGCTGAACGTTTCTGTGTACGTAACTCTGGAGCTATAGCTGTTGTTGAAGGTGTTGGTGATCACGGTTGTGAATATATGACCGGTGGACGAGTAGTTGTTTTAGGTTCAACAGGCAGAAATTTCGCCGCGGGTATGAGCGGGGGCGTAGCTTACGTCCTAGATAATGCTCAAGATTTTCGTTCAAAATGTAATACTGAAATGGTCGATTTGGAGACTGTGAATGACCATGAAGAAGTTAGCTTTTTACGTGAACTTATCAGAGATCATCATCATTTTACCAAATCTGAACTTGCGGATCGTATATTAAAAAATTTCAATCAAGTTTTACCAAAATTTGTCAAAGTTATGCCAGTTGATTACAGAGCTGTCTTGGAAAAACAAAAACTAGCATCTAAGATTAACGAAGAACAACCAGCAGAAATTCAATTAGTTGATAAAAAAGAACCATTAGTTTTAGATATTGAAGATTCAATGGTAGATGAAGAAGCTGCCAAAAAGAGATCTCAAATTGTTGACAAAGTTAGAGGTTTCATGAAATACCAAAGAAAAGTTGATAATTACAGGAATCCTAAAAGACGTGTAAAAGATTGGAAAGAAATCAATGCTCGCCTTAACGAAGCAGATCTTAAAGTTCAAGCAGCTCGTTGTATGGATTGTGGTGTACCTTTCTGTCAATCTGATACTGGTTGTCCTATTAGTAATATTATTCCAAAATGGAATGAACTCGTTTTCAGAGATCAATGGCGTGACGCTTTGAACAGATTAATGATGACAAATAATTTCCCTGAATTTACTGGTCGCGTTTGTCCTGCTCCATGTGAAGGTGCTTGTGTATTGGGAATTAATGAACCACCTGTTAGTATCAAATCTATTGAATGTGCTATTATTGACAAAGGTTTTGAAATGGGATGGATTGTTCCTCAACCACCAGTAATTCGTACCGGTAAAAAAGTTGCCGTCATAGGTTCAGGGCCAGCAGGTCTCGCCGCAGCAGATCAACTTAACAAAGCTGGACATCTTGTTACAGTATATGATCGTAACGACAGATTTGGTGGACTTTTAATGTATGGTATCCCAAATATGAAATTAGATAAAAAAATCGTACAAAGACGTATTGATCTTCTTGACGCGGAAGGAATCAAATTTGTTGCAAATGCTCATGTTGGAGTTGATGTTGATGTATCTCAAATCAAAACCGATAATGACGCCTTAGTACTAGCTACAGGTGCAACATGGCCACGTGATTTAAATATACGTAAGTATTTTTATTTTTTTTGTCAAATAAATTTTATTTAAAAAAATAATTTTTACTTATAATTATTACTTTAATATCATTATGACATGTAGCGAATAGAAACTTGGACAACATCCATTTTGCTATGGAATTTCTTCAGTTAAATACTTCAAGTTTACTTGATTCAAATTTACAAAATTCCCGTTATATAAGCGCAAAAGATAAGAATGGTATGTATTTATTTATTTTCCCATTTAATCAGTTTTATGAATTGATTATCAACCTAATAAATTTATTTTTTTTTTCCTTTCATCTTATTAGTCATAGTAATAGGTGGTGGAGATACAGGATGCGATTGTATAGGAACTTCGATACGTCATGGTAATTATTTTTTATTAAATTTATTTATTTATTTTTAAAGCTATTTCGACCTTACTAAATTATTATCGTGGTTTGTTAGGTGCCAAGTCAATTGTAAATTTCGAATTATTACCGCAACCTCCAAATACTCGTGCAGATGATAACCCATGGCCAACTTTCCCGCGTACATTTAAGGTTGATTATGGCCACGCTGAAGTTATTTCACATTACGGCAAAGACCCTAGAGAATATAATATATTATCAAAATCCTTTGTAAGTGATGGAAACGGTCGTGTCGCTGGAATAAATACCGTGAGAGTTGAATGGACAAAAGATCCAGTAACCGGAAAATGGTCAATGGGAGAAATTGAAGGATCAGAACAATTCTTCCCAGCAGATCTCATTCTTTTGGCCCTTGGTTTCTTGGGACCCGAAGAAAAATTAATAAATAGTTTGGGATTGAAAACAGACGCACGAACTAACATTGAGACACGTCAAGGCAAATATAGTACAGCTATACCAGGGGTAAGTAAATGAAGAGAATAAGAACCATTAATTTATTACATTAATTAAACATATGAACCGCTAATTAATCAAAAAATTTTTATTTTTATTAGGTTTTCGCAGCCGGTGATTGTAGGAGAGGTCAAAGTCTTATTGTATGGGGTATAAATGAGGGTCGTCAAGCTGCAAGAGAAATTGATCAATATTTAATGGGTAATACGAATTTACCCGTTACTGGTGGAATCTCAAAATTTGAAGCACCACAAGTTCATCAAGCACCATTACAAATGGCAATTCGATAATTCTTTTTTTTTCTTTTTTTTTTAAAAAAAAAAAAAAAAAAGACATTTTCATTTATTAAAAAATTCACATTTTTTTTAATGGGGGGTTTTTTATTATTAGTTGAATAATTGATGTAAAATAGTTAGCAATGTAATTAATTTCACTTTTTATTATTTTTATTCATTAAATTTTAATAAATTAATTTACTTTTTGTTTAAATAATTAAATATACAAGTTAATTCGTACTTTTAAAATTTTATAATTTCTTATAAATTTTTGGCAAACTTACATGTTAACTGAAATGATGATTTGTAAAAATGCGTAATCTTTAACGAGATCACTCAATAGACAACAGTTTCACTAGCTTGATAACTTATCAATTAGATTATCTTTTGAATAATGAGCCAATTCGGATTAGAAGATTAGAACTTTTTAGAATCATTGATATCGCTCGATAAGATATCTTTGAATAATCAGTAATGCGGTCTATTAAGCCCATAATATTAATTGTTTTATATAATGATCATATGTTAAAAAACAAATCGTAACTACATCAGACACTTATACGGTATAAAATTTACTCTGAACTACAACCGATTTCAGCGTTAAAAAGTTTTCATCAATATATTTTAGTTGCTATTTACATTTCACATAATTAAATGCATAGTAACTATAGCGAAGTAAAAATTGAACGCAACAGAACCCCCAGATCAGATAAATATTTTATATTTAGATACATAAATTGCGGCTTCTGATATTCATTCAGCCGCTAAAGTTCCATTACCTCTCTTTATGCAAATAATCGATACACCGTTCTGTTATTAGGTTTTATTTTAGGCGTTTATTTTGTAATTTCGTAGATTTGAAATGCTACGCCAGCCCATTCAAGAAGTAACAGAACATTCAAAGTATCAAATTCATTACATTTTATAATTAGATAATTACAAAGATTTATGATGACTTTCAACAATTTTTTTAGGAAACCGGTTTGCAGATGTTAAATTTTATTTATCATATACGTTTATTGTAATTTATTGAATTATCAAAGTAAAACATGAATAAAAAACTAAGTAAAATTTTTATTTGTTACGTACGTAAGAAAAATGAATTTTATTTAATTTTAATTTCAAAGAGCTAAGCTAATAAGCTAATAATTTTTTTTTTTAAATAACTAACGCCGTCGTTTAAGTTATTTTTAATATAAATTTTTTAATTTGATTTTTTTTTTTTTTTTTTGTATATTAAAGATGCATTTTGCATCTTTAATGACGTGGGTATATTAAATATGCATTTTGCATTTTTAATATTGATGTGGTATAAATACATACTCTAAGGTATATATATGTACCATCGCGGAATATTGGAATATACTGCCAGACAAAAGTAAATAATTTTTAGCAAATAAGTAAAAAGATAGTTTTAAACGGTCCATCTTTGTTAAACAAACCTTCATATTCCTATATTCCAAGCGATTGCCAACGATAATGTAATTTACAAAATCATTTGGCAATTTCTAGCAAATGACGTCTCAAAGCCTTATATGTGAAGGGAAATAAATTTTTAAAATATTTTTTTAGTCAAATTATCCACATTTATATATAAAAGTGAGTTAACGAAAACCAAAGAATTCCGTAAAATTTTTTTCTTACCTTTCTAGCTCTGAACGAAATTCGCGTAGAAGGGGTGGGATTAAAACCTCTGAAACTAAATTCTTTAGTAATCTTGAGGGATTAAATCCAAGGATTTTTCTCTTTTTTTTTAGTTCTTTTATATTCTCTCAGGTATTGCAAACAGTTTAAACAGTTTGAAATCGCTTTTACTTAATGAGGAAATATTAATTACGCCAATCTATTGAATCAGAAGTCTTTTTCTTGAAATCAGTAATCATATCCCCTTTTAGACCTTTCCAATAAGCAATCTGCGATAAATAATGATGTAATTTATTCAAAATAATCACACGCTAATTCTCTGGTGCATAACTATCGGATTACCATCATGGGTTAATAGCATTCTTATCACTATATCTGAGGCTTTTTATTTTTAATATACTTTATTAAAAACTTTACTATTAGAATGTATAATTTGTTAAATTATAATTATTATTGTTATTTATTAATTTATTATTTTTGATTCTAAACGTACAAATTATTTTGTTGTTTAAAAATAGTACGTATATGTGACAAATGATTCGATGAAGTAAAATGAAGCCAAGTATCAATAACATTTTGACTATCAGTATATATAGTGAGGTGGAGACACAATCAATGCCGTTAAAATAGCAAAGGATTCAGCACGATAAGAAGATGGCCAATGTTGGCAACATGAAGTAAAAACTACTTTTGATGAGGAATCATAAGCTTGCGCAAATTCAAAACTCATGAAGCAAGATTTCTTGTCTATATCTATAAGCGAACCAACTGTGTAATAAATGGGATCAGTTGTATTGATCAAATCTTTCTGAATATTTAACAAATCATTACGCGAATTTGAAAATTCTAGATATTATTTTGTAATAATATTATTGTGTACAATTGGTGATTAAAAATTTTGCTTGTTGATAAAAATCCTTAAGATTACGTGTTGTTTGAGGAGCAGTTGATGAATGTTTTATCGAATTGTACAGTATTAAAATAATGTCTTTTTGCGGTATGATAAACTTGCAATCTTCAGGTTGATTGTTATTAAGAATACAACCCTTACACAATTTCAGCAAAGCTTTTTCAGTTTATTGTTCTATTTGATAATGTTGTATATAAATCTTCTTATTTTTGCTGTCTTTATAGACAGTTCTACTAATGTAAGAACGATCAAACTTATTGATCCAAAATACAACCTACTCTGGATTATTATTAGTAAAAGCAGGATTATTAATAGATATACCTTTGAAATTATGCGCTAAAGGTGAACAGTATGCTGTTTTCAAATTTGAAGACATGGGTATGCTTTAAGTAAGTGAACCACAACGGAATTGATGTAGAAATGATTAATTTCATATATAAACGATGCTTCAAGTCCTTCCATTCGACCAAAGACTTTCCATCTAGCATAGTAACTTATTCTAAAAGCATAATTGAATATGAAGCAGGAGAAATAAAGGATAAATCATGTTGGTCTTGGATTATGTTTTGTTCAGGAGAAGGGAATAGTTGTCAACATGAATATGGGGGAATTGGTGAATGTAAAGAAACATGTGAAAACTATTCTCTTAATAATAATATAAAGAATTATTGTGACATGCATTTATGTAAAGTTCGTGTTATTTCTGAATCAAAACTTTCATGGCTAAACAAAGAAAAACCCTTATAAATTAAAATAACTGGAACTCATTTACCGGCAAATATCATTACAGCGCATAATTCAAATATCTCTAGATTGAATCTATCACGACAAGTTAGAGATAATATTATAATTAGCCATAGATCAGATCATCGTTCAGCTAATTCTGTTAAATCAAAGCTGTTGGCACCTTTTAATGGAGCAGAAGAGAGTGAACTTAAAGAAGCATTAAAAAATCAATGGCAAATTTGCAGTGATGAAAAACTTAGAGCATATTTGATGCGTGATGATCGAAGATTAAAGGAAAATGCTGGTCCTTGGACTATTTTGCATTATTTAGTCATAGAAATCTTAAAACCAAAGGGATATGTTTTATTTTACCAACAACCTGATTTGTCACATTCAGAAGAAGAGAAGCATTATTATCAACTTACATTATCTAATGAATTTTGATTACGGAATGGTAAAGAATTTGGCCAAACATGTATTGGAATGGATTCTAAACATGATTTAAACAATGATAGAGCTCCAATATTAGTTTTTGTTATTGAAAACAATTCTGGTTCTGGAACACCACTTGCTTTTGGTAAATATATTTATAAAATAATTAATTATTATTAGATCTTTAATTTATATTGTTTTTTTTTATATAGGATTAAGCAATAGGGAAAACCAATGGACGATAAAATTATCCATATCTGCAGTAAAAAAAAATATTCCATGTAATCAAGATGGTTGTGAACATAAATGGAGCTATATGGATTTATCAAATGGAAAAGGATTTGAAAGAATAAGAGAATGCAATTCTTTTACTTGGAATCCTTTAGTTATGATTGATAAGCACAGGCCATCAAAAATTGCTATAACTAATGTTTTACATGGAAGTATACTGTGTTGGTTCCATATTATGCAGACTATTGGAGAAAACTTTAATCAATTAAATATACCATGGTCATTACGGTAATAAATTTAATTTAATACCATCATTGTTATATTTAATTAATAATTCTCAATTAATACTAATTTAATATTTAATAAAGATATCCTTTAGCATTAGCATTTAAAGTTATTGGTCGAAGTAGAACTGAAGAAGAATCTAAGGAGCTTGGTTTACTTTATCATGATTTTGTTAATTCATTAAAATTATCAGATAATATTAAACAAAAATTAATAACAGATTTAGACCAAAATTGGTTATGTGATGAGTGGAGAATATCTTTTATTGATGCTGGACGTATTTTACAAAATTTTGAATGTGTAATGACTACAAATAATTTTACAGAAAGGTTAAACAGAACAATAGAAGCAAATTATACTGGAATTCAAACTGTTGTACACTTTGTAGAGCGTCTATATGGAATAAAATTAAAGAGAGAAAATTTAACCGAAAATACTGGGCAATTTCAATTTGAAGCGGGTTTAGCAACATTATTTGACATGAAATCAATTGAAGTAGTAAGCGCATATTATTGTATATTTATATTTATAATTATGTTATAACTTTAATTTAATTCTAATAATATATTACTTAAAGCAAAATTGTCCAAAAAAACTATCATCTGATAAGCTTCGAAGACTTAACCATGGAAGACTTTATTTTCTATTAGGATTAGTTGAGCCTTCAAATAATGCCAATTATTTCTATATTCGAAAATCCGATAATTCGCAAATATTAGAATCTCCATTTAATGGAAAATTTGTTGAATTGGATAGTGAAGCGATAAATAATCTAAAACCTTTATTTAACAAACTAGAAAAAAAACATTTTGATAATGTTATGCATAGAGAAGGATTCTATTTGGCAAACATTTTAACGGGTGAATGTATGCTTTGTTATGATTTCATTTGGAATGGGCCATTCCGAGATGTTTGTAAGCATGTCGTCTTTTTAATAATGCTAATCAGCATGATTTGGATAAAACATTATTCATCCAACAAACAAAAGAAAGTTTAGTTTCTTATTTTAAAAGTAAAGAAAGAGTAATTTTTGCAGAAAACAAAAATAGATTAATATATGAAGGAGATACTGATACAGCATATAATGAGATAGTTAGGCTTTATCATTTACAAGGTAGTATACAATTTATTTTAAAAATCTTAGTTTTAATTCCTAAATATTTAAAATATTTCATTAAAATTAGGTGGATCAATCTTTTTACCGAAAAATAATACTTCCGAGCGAAATTCAGATCCCTTTAGACCATCAGAATTGAATAAACACAATGTTTCTAATAAGGGAGCGCCTCCAAAAGCTGTAGCAAAGCCGCGTAAACCATCACGAATTCTTCAAGCAAAGAATCAGACAAACTCTCATAATGAAACTTTGTTTGCTTCTTCAGAAAAAAGAAGTACAAAAAGAATAAGAAAAACCATTCGCACAGCAAAAGTATAATTTTATTATTTAAATATTTACATCTATTATTATAATATCTTATTACTTACATTAAATTATATTCTATTCTATTAAGGAAAAAGTTCAGACTAAAGAAGAAGTTAAAAAACTCGCCCATAACTTCACAGAAGCTAACTTTACAGAAACTCAACAATTTTTACCCCATTATGACGCTAATAGATTATATTATGAAAGTTCTAATTTTTCTACTAATTCTAATGTGTATTTTCCCACAAATGAATTACTTATACCCCCTCCTCCTAGCATTTCACAACCCTTGTATAACTCATATACATATTTTTCCGCCAGTAATCAACAACCCGATCCTTCTAATGCATTTCCTACAAATTTACAAATTTATGAACAGCTTAGTATGTTAAATTCGCCATCCTTCAACACATTTTCTTCCATTAACTCTATTTCAAATAACAATAATTTACCAAATATTAAAGATAGAAATAACTTACCCTAACTTTTGTAATTTCAAACATAATAAAGAAATAAATAACTATAGTGTAATTAAACTTGCATAGTTATATTTTCGTTTAAAAAAAAAATCGTTAAAAAAAAAAATTTATAAAGTATTTCATATCACACATGTCACATGAATTTTCATCACATTTTTGGTCAAGAAAGTGTATCACAGGGGTGCATAAACTTGCATATTTTTGATGGTACATGAAAATAGCACCTGGTGGTAGAAGAACGATACATTTGCCCCTGTTGCACCTGATCGTATAAGAACGATACAGTTGCGACAATGTGACATGTATAATAGTTAAACTGGTTTCGCAGGTGATATAACTGAAGTGACCCATATGGTGTATATTATCCATAACTGTGAATATGCGATTAAAATTCAGAAACTTGATTATCGGTTCATATGATCTTCAGCCAATCATCATTTTTAATAATTATTAAACTACTTAATAATTAATATATGATAATTTACATAGATTAAATAAAAAAAATCACGGACCAATTAATAAGCATTTATTAATAAATTATTAAGTAAGATTATTAACTTAAAAATTAAAAATCCGATCACTAACGGAAATAATTAAAAATTTTATATACTGAAGCTTTATTATTACGAATATTACGAGGCAATAAAATTATTGTTTGGTACATGATGAAAATAAGTTATACCGCCTAATTTTACTCTCTTTTTCATGCGCGCGACGTTTCTTAGTCGCGGTTTTTCATTAACAGATACCTATCCTTTCAACAACCCACCATCACTTCTAAAAATTCTCTGCGGCGGTGCGGCCTGTTCTGTAATACTATATACTTATTGTATAGTATTTAGTGCTGTTTTCGATTGAGGCCATTTGATTGGCTCAGATTGTGCCACGAATTTGTACTATGACCGATCAAATGGCTGAGATCAAAGTATTGCCTAAAGACCTATACAATAAGTGTTTTATTATATAGACTCTCACGATCACACTATTAAATCAGTCACGAGTTAATTTATAGAAATTTTATTATGATTTAAACAGTATTCATTTATTATATATATAAAAAAATACTATAAGGATATATAATAATGTACGTTATTTTTATCCCATCCAATAAATACCAGGTCGATCTTTCCCATTTAGTCAAATAATGATGTATAAATTATCATTATTTCTCTTAAAAATTGATCAATTTATATTCTTTTTTTTTCTTAAATTGATCAATCAATTACTCTCTTTTTTCTCTTCGAATTTATCAATAAATTATTCTTAAAGATGTCTCGTGCACGTACTTCTGACGATATTTGGTGGGCAAGGATTTTTGATAGGCTTGACGAGTTTTTACATAACTACCCGAAATTACCAAAAAACTCGATAACAGAAAACAAGTAAGTGTATGAGAGTATTTCTTTATTATTTAAGTACCACTTAATGTTGACTTTGTATGGAATGCAGTTTGCCTCTCCACATTGGTTCTAAAGTAACGATCAGAAATTATAACACCTTCCTTCACCATTACGGATCAAGTGGATACAAGTTTCGGTTTATTTTAAACAGTGACAATACAACTGGCGAAGTGTATATAATTGGTATGACCTCAACCGCGCATGAGGATATTATTATTCGACTTCAAGAATTTTTTAAAGTTCCTAATAATGGCGTTGTTGATGATCCCCCAATAATAGTCACTGGTCAAGTTCGTAAGTGAATATATTCTATTTTGCTTCTTTTATTGAATTTTCAATATTCTCATAGTCTTTTCATATAGTTCACTATGTGCCTGGTGGAACTAGGGTTGAAACAGCTCCTGATGCTTGTGTACGTCCAAATGTGGCATTTGTTCCAAAACCTGCCGTTTCCACTGTAATACCTCTTCCCCCTGGTGATACATGTGTATGTTGAGTTTGATGTGTATTATTGTATTATTGTTTTTTATGTGATTTTCATTATTATGATTCATACAGGGAAATCCACATGCACGGATAATGTGTGAGGTAGCTGTAGGCCAAAGTGTTGGTGAATTGGGACGAAAGTGCTCATCTTGGATACGAGAGCCATACGTCCGCGCTGTCATTAGCATCAAGATCTTAGAACCAATACTAAACATGCGAGAACCCACAACCGGTTATTATTACAGAGCAATGACGGTATATATTATTTATTGTTCAATACAAAGTTAAGCATGTAGCTTCTTATCTGATTAGTTTGTTATTTAAATATTAGGCCAAACTTTACCGTCAAGGAATGGCAATACAAAGTTGGGATTTTGGGAATATTAAAAAACATTCACGTGATCCAGTCAACGATCCTCCCGGTTGCAATGCGCCAAACTTGGCAGCTTATCAAATAACTATACCTATAAGCGAAGTATTCTGGGATCCACCGTATCCTATCCCACCTGGATATACTCCAGCAATTCCCTTAAACATAGTTGGTACCAATTTTGTAGTTGACTTGTACCGGATTCAACGAGTCGCCTTACAAGCTCAAATACCCTGAAATGGGAATTGTTACAACTTGAAACAAGTACCAGAAAAAAAACTGCTAATTACAAGTTTTTTTTTTTCAGTTTAAAGTTTTCGAAACTGACTTGGTTTTTATTCATTTTCATTATTTTATATTTGAGTAGATATTAGTACCCGATGATGTCTAACAAGTGGTGAATAGCATCAGTCTGAGGCCATTAGGGAACGCTATTAAAAGTTTTATTAATGATTTCTATTTCTCATTTATATTTTCTTACGTATATATTAGCTTTATCTGCTTACTTTATTATGGAATTGTAAATGTGTTTGCTATATAAGAAAAACAAAAATACAAAAACAAAAATACAAAAAAAAAAGAAAATAAATCAACGTAAAGTTTCACGATCAATATATAAGATATCTAAAATAAACTACTCCTAGTACCCTAATTTAAAATCTGTTAAGCAGAACACCAATTGTGGTATGAATGTTCATCATATTAAACTCGGCAGGTATACTAAGATTAATCAACAGTAAGGACGAAAAGTAAGAGCGAAGGAGAACCGATCCCAGAAGAGAGAGGAAAAGGTGGAAAATTCTTAATCTCATATCGTATTTTACATCTCCCGTCAACTTTTAACTAATGTAGTAAGTAGGTGACACTATTAGGCAGGAGGTAGAGTTGGAGTAACAGAAGATATTTAAAGGAGGGAATCAAATTGGTAGTTCATAAAGTGAATAATAATAAATAGTAGAAAAGTCGTAAAAAAGGGGGTACTCAGAAGGTGAACGGAATGATCCCATTAGGAAATAGGGCCAGGATTATGTTGTATAACAATCTTTGTTGTCTAAAAAGGAATGTGGACTTGATGAGATAAATATTTCTCAGCATGCAATATACTAAAAGTCGAATAAATATTTTTTTTAGATAGCGATTTATCTCCAATCTTTGCATCTCAATGTGTTAAATAAAGAAAATTTATAAATAAAATAAATAAAACTATAAAATAAAAAATAAAATCAGAGTGAACGAGAGAACAAGAACAAAAATCGAATTAAATAAATTTAATGATATGATTTGCAGTATGGCAGTATTATTTAATCACTGATTATCCACTTAATTTCAGTTAATTGACTGGTACTTGAACTTTAAAATAAACAATACCAAGAAAAATTCGTAAACATAAGAAATGGGTTTGGACTTTGGAACATACTTTTATTTAAAAAATTATACAATTTTAATCGGATGGATGAATACCACTGGTCAAATGAGGTCTCTAATTGAACATAATCACGTGATTTCTGGCACGCCCTTAGTATGGCAGAATCTTTGATAATGCTGATTTTTGTTCATCAGGATTACTATCCTAAATATCCTTTATTTTTGTAGGAACATGGAATTGAGGCACTTGAGCATATTTTTGGTATATCATGTCAAGTAATTGCAGATTTTAATTTTTATGAATTTTATAAAATTCAAAAATATGGTATGTATTGAGATAAAATTTCACGTGCTGGATTAATTGATACATCAAGAGACTGAATATCAGCTGCAGGTAATAAAAATTAATTATGCTTATTAAATAATAATTAATAAAAATTCACCCTTCCTAAATATTTTTAAGTTATGTATTTGATATTGATGGGACTTCTCTTCCTCATGAAATTATTGAATGTTTACGCACTTGGCCATCTGATGATGACATTAAAGAAGCAATCCGTGTTGGATATAATGAAGCAATTGCATTGGCAAATTATTTTGAAATTAATAATTACAATTCAGTTTCTATTCAACAACTTGTTGCTCGTGTTGAATTTTCTTCAGATGATACAAACATCCCAGAAATAATTGATGAAAATCAAAATCAAAACTTAACCAGTATAAAATTAATTTGCTAGTTTAAACTTTATTAAATACTTCTAAATACTATTTCACATTAGAACAAGAACAAGATGAATCACGAATTAAATCTGAGGATGTTATTGGGACTGCTGCATTTGAGATTTCTTGACTCTTATTAGATGAATCTGATAATAATACAGAATTTGCAGATGAAAACGAAACAACAAATCCCTTATCAATGAATTTTCCTGATTTGCAATATATTCTTAATCAGAAATCAGTTCCTCAAAACCAATTTGAAAATTTTGATCAACTTTTTACACTTGAAGGATTTTTATGTCCTAAAATCTTAATTAATATTCGAAAAAATCATGATGCTTTCTCACAGCATTCCAAAAAAACAAACCAGTACAACTAGTTTACTCAATCTTAATAATAATGCTAACCGGTTAATTAGTGAATTTACAAATAATTCTATTCAAGAAAATCACGTAAATAGACGAAAAGATCGTTGGGAAGGATGTAAAAGACTTGCAACTATTCCAATAGCTTCTGGAACTAATAGTAAATATTTGCTATTAGCACTGTAAATTTGTATATTTTATAATTATCTTTCTACTTAATATAATTTATTTATTTATTTATTTATATTTTTTTGCAAGTACATAATATTATTGATGCAAATGTATCTAATCTCCATCCCTTAATCTTAAATGGATACTTAATTATTTACTCTGACAAAAAACTTTGCATTGCTCAAATTATTTCTATGTATGAAAAGCGAGGTGAACGACATGCTTGGATGAACAAAGATTGTTGAATTTTTGGATCACTTGTCTTATCTTTCGGTTAATATTTATTTGAATGTTTATAATAGTCTATGGACAAATGCATGTGAGACAGGAGGGAGATTAGTTGGTCACATTCCAGCTAAAGAAGTTTTATATTATTTTAATTTACCTCCTTTTATTAATTTTCAAAGTTCTTTTCTTACTTTAACAGCAGAAGCTTCGGAAGTTTTTCAGCATTTCAAAACACCCAATATGATATCATATTTTACAAAGATCTTTCCTAAATAACAATATTGAATAATATAAAAATGATTTTTTTTATATATTAATAAAGAATTTGTCTCATTTTCGCAATAAAATAATTCTTTTATTATAAATATGTCACCGTATTTTTATGGTTCGAATATCTTTTAATTATCTATGCTTACCGCCACTTTGGTTATAAAATCATGTGGTTCGCAACCATCTGCTAAAACCCGATCATTTGTATTTATTTTTCTTGTGTATCATCACGCTGTTATGGTATTAATAAAACGTTTCTGTAAGTAACTTTTACTCTTATTTACTGCATAATATCACCCTAAGGCAATAAAAAAAATTTCTGAAAATAAAAACGGACAATCCTATTTCATTTTTACGATATACTACTTTAGCAATAAGATTAGATGCAGGAATAAACTTTATTTATTAATTAATTTGTATTTACCCATTTCAGGGTGTTTGAGCTTGTAAGGCGACTCGTTGAATCTGGTACAAGTCAATAACAAAATTAATACCAACTACGTTTGGGGGAATTGCTGGAGTATATCCAGGTGGGATAGGATACGGTGGATCCCAGAATACTTCGCTTATAGGTAAAGTTATTTGATAAGCTGCCAAGTTTGGCGCATTGCAACCGGGAGGATCGTTGACTGGATCACGTGAATGTTTTTTAATATTCCCAAAATCCCAACGTTGTACTAGCATTCCTTGACGGTAAAGTTTGGCCTAATAATTAAAAAACAAACTAATCAGATAAGAAACTACATGCTTAACTTTGTATTGAACAATAAATAATATATACCGTCATTGTTCTGTAATAATAACCGGTTGTAGGTTCTTGCATATTTAGTCTTGGTTCTAAAATCTTGATGCTAATGACAGCACGGACATATGGCTCTCGCATCCAAGATAGGCACTTTCGTCCCAATTCACCAACACTTTGGCCTACAGCTACCTCACACATTATCCGTGCATGTGGATTTCCCTATATGAATCATAATAATGAAAATCACATAAAAACAATAATACAATAATACACATCAAACTCAACATACACATGTATTACCGGGAGGACGAGGTATTACGGTGGAAGCGGTAGGTTTTGGAACAAATGCCACACCTGGACTTACACAAGCATCAGGAGCTACTTCAACCCCATTTCCACGAGGCACATAGTGAACTATATGAAAAGATTATGAGAATATTGAAAATTCAATAAAAGAAGCAAAATAGAATATATTCACTCACGAACTTGACCATCGACTAATATTGGGGGATTAATAAAAACGCCATTATTTGGGACTTTGAAGTAATCTTGAAGTAAGGTAGTAATACGCTCATGCACGTGTGAGGCCATATCAATTATATACACTTCGCCAGTTGTATTGTCACTGTTTAATTGAAACCGGAATTTGTATCCACTTGACCCGTAATTGTGAAGGAAGGTGTTATAATTATTGATCGTTACTTTAGAGCCAATGTGGAGAGGCAAACTGCATTCCATACAAAGTCAACATTAAATGGTACTTAAGTAATAAAAAAATACTCTCATACAGTTACCTGCTCTCTGTTACCGAGTTTTTTGGTAATTTCGGATAGTTATGTAAAAACTCGTCAAGCCTATCAAAAATCCTTGCCCACCAAATATCGCCTGAAGTACGTGCACGAGACATCTTTGATCAATTTTAAGAGAAAAAAAAGAGTAATTGATTGATCAATTTTAAGAAAAAAAAGAATATAAATTGTTCAATTTTAAGAGAAAATAATGATAATTTTATACATCATTATTGGACTAAATGGGAAAGATCGACCTGGTATTTATTGGATGGGATAAAAATAACGTACAGTATTACAGAACAGGCCGCAGAGAATTTTTAGAAGTGATGGTGGGTTGTTGAAAGGATAGTATCTGTTAATGAAAAACCGCGACTAAGAAACGTCGCGCGCAAGAAAAGAGGGTAAAATTAGACGGTATAACTTATCTTCGTCATGTATCAAAAAATAATTTTATTGCCTCGTAATATTTGTTATAATAAAGCTTCAGTATATTATATGATCGCGTGCTATTATCTATTTTTAGATAATCCATTAATAAACCCTGCCAAGAGATATATCCGTCTGCGTTACGTGTAGTCCGTGATTCATTGCACGTGATAGGTAGTTTGTGACGTCTATTCTGCGCCTTATTTCTTTTTTAGCGGGATCAAACTGATCTCTTTTGCGACTCATGTATCCATGAGATCGAAATGTATTAGTCGAATTCACTGCCATTTTTGACCGGGGAAGAAAAAAAGAAAATCGCTCTCTCGCACAACTGCACAATATACCGATGACCCTCGTCGAACAGTCAGCGGAGGTGCTCCAGTGCTTTTTTTTTCTACCCGAAGTATATGAAATACTTTCACCTTCTTAGTCCTGGCACATTAGCCAGCTTCTATCACCATCAAAAAACTCCAAGACTTCGATGGATAAAATCATACCATGGATTGAGAAAGTAGTTAGTAGTGATAGCAGTAGTATTATCAATGCCGAAGTTAGTAAGAATTAGTAAAGTGAAGTGCTTAGTGAGGACTAGTGGCTGGCGAATTCCTCACTTGAAACATCCACACAGAATTTTATGAATATCTTTTTTATAACATAAATACGAATTTTCCTTGACTTGTTTAATTGTTTTTTGTTGAAAATTTCGAAAATCGTTGGAGAGATTGTGATTTTCGAAAATCCACTGAAAAAGCGCGTAATCATTTTAGTTAATATATGGTATGCAACGAAGCATTGACCGCATCGTGTACTCACATCCTTTTTCGAAGCGTCTCTAATATCAATATTATCAATGGAATCTTTCCATGAATATAGAATTTTATGACGTTTTCCAGCATCGTAATATTTGGACTCGATATCTATAATATACGAATTAGATTCCTCTCAGAAATGTCGCAAAAACTAAATATTTTATTACCTTCTTCAAGATGAGGTTTGGGAGACGGACCAGATGTTGATGAACACGAACCAGGAAACTCTTGTTTTATTTTCGGGTCCGCTGACATTAATATCGAACTATCATCATTCTGTTGTGACTCCATGAGGCGAGGTTTCTTCGAGCCAGTTTCCTCCGGAAGGAGATCTTCTATGCGACTTCGGATTGCTTTGCTTGTTCTTTTGGTTAATGTCTTATCGATAGAAGCCTGGTAAAATATGAAAAAATTTAAGATATACAAATCTTGGATACGACACATCATAACATGTTTGACAAACCTTCTCCTTATTGAGAACGCAAGAAGATTGTTTCGATAGAAAATAATCATCGATTGCTCTCGTGTAATGACCATTATTGTACTTTTGTTCAAGTTCGACTAGTTTTTCATCATTGCTAAGTGCGAGGCTTGCACTGAGCGAGGAGCACCAATCCGAGACACCCTTGCTCTTTGCTGTGTAATTAAATTTCTTAAAAAATTCCACCGGCGTGCACTTTTCCTCCCTGATAAAAAAATTCACTTTTGGAGAAATCGAATTCGTCATTTTTGTCGTTAGGACAGACATTGCTACCTACAGAAAGACGCGTCGACTATCGAGTATCGACGTGTAGTTCGACGTATTGATATATATTATGTGATATGTTACACAGAACTCGTGGCAGGTGACTGTGTTATTTATATTTCGCGCGTATGGTGCGGCGCATCTATACTCATCAACAGTCCAAAAATTTATTTTAGGCCGATCTTTACCAAATTAAGTAATAATTTAGCCTTATTTGGTAACATCCCCATTGATCATTGCGTGATTTATTAAATTAGATTTACCTGATTGGCTCAAATCGTAATCACGTGGAAAATTGATTCCGAAATTTCACTATTTTACATAGACTTATATAAAAAATACTCCAACTTAAAAAGCTAATAACTTTTAATCTATAAAAGTTAGAGGAAATTAAATCCGATAAAATGAAAGAGAATCCTTTAATCTATAATTGTATCAGTTTACTTTTTCAGTTTAACATAAAATTTTAATGAGTTATTGAAGTTTAAAAATACCCAATTTTCATTTGATGAGTATAGATGCGCCGCACCATATAACTTAACTTACTTTTATCTTTGTAGAACAGAGGCCTTTCTCCGTTATGAGGCCTGTTTGTAACTAGATCCTCTCACAGAAGACAGTATAGCTACTAATCGCTCAGAGGAACTTCGGTTATCCCATAATTAAGGTTGTGGCTCGCGCTTGGTTGTCAAGAGTTATACTGTGAGCGCGCGCATGGAAATGCAAGTTTTCTTTTGATGTCTTGTAAGTGTTTCGTTAAGCAGAGTTATCTTGCCGATCGCCTTGTACTAATGGTTTTTTGATTTGTTCTTATTGAATATTATAGCAAAAGATTTCTTAACCCTATAACGTAATTCACTGCAGGGTTGGTCAAAAACTTCGGTTATTCCCTCGGGGTGACACCTGTTGTTGATTTGCGTTGATAGAAGACAATGCGCTAATTTATCATTCTGAAGAACTTCGGTTATCCCATAACTAAGGTTGTGGTTCATGATAAGTTGCCAAGAGTGTGCATTGTGCGCTCGATCACCTTTGTTGGAAGCAGAGTTACGGTATAGAAATCTGATGTAAAGTATTAGGAATCATATTTATTATTACTCTACAATATCAGAACAATTTGAATAAATTACAAGCTTTTTTATTTTTCCGATGCACCCGCATAAATAACGAATCTTGGAGAAGCGAATGAAATGTACGATGCTATCAAAGAGGGAGGGAGTACGCGGATCCTAGGCCATTTAATGCGAGTCCCAGCATCACATTTATTTCTTTGTTCTCTCAAATTTTTTTGAAAAATATCTACAGATAACTTGTTTCTATTGCTAATATTTCTAACTACAAGATTCTCATCCTTATATTCTTTTTCTACACTAGATTTTAGTAATAAATTTTCTCACACATATCTACAGAATTTTCGTCTATCTATATCACTCCCACCCACACAGACTATATAATAGATTATTTCCTGCAAGAGAACTTCGAGATGAAATAATTTCGAAACTGTATGAAGAATTCTCTGAGATTAGCAACAGGTTAAAAGAAATAAACCAAGTTGAGGCTTCTGATTCACACTTACCGTTGTACTTCATTTTCACAACATTCCATTCCGCCTCATATTCAAGAAAGTTACTTTATGCGTTATAATAAAGGTGTTTCAGTTTTTTTATCACTAGAACAATACTGCGCCAAGCATCAAGAATTTGGATGCCATTGCCAGAAAATTTTATTCGCGTCTGCGCACTGTATCTCAGCATGTGACGAAAATCTGGTGACTGAAATTAATACTGCGCAGATTAGACACATGACAATGATCACGATTTTCTTGGCGAATATCAAAGAAAAGCGCTTTATCTTTGAGCATCTATAGAGCCGGGAAAAATGATTAGCATCGTGATGGCGATTTTCTAGAATCAAGCCAAGAAATCAAACAAACTAATTTCACTATTACTTTGCGGAATATACTTGTTTGATTGATTGTCGATATTGTTGAGGTTAATAGTGGTAAGTTGAATATTTGTTTTGATCCTTTTTTTGCTTTACTTGCACAAGGCGGATAAAAGGATTCACTAAATAAAGCTTTACCTTTTTATAAGATTTGTAGTGGGTTTAAGGATCGATCTTTGGAATAAATCTTTAGAGAAATTACGTTATTATGATTCATCATGAAAATCAGATCAACGGATAACTCCTTAAAATTATAATAGACACTGGGATCGTGTCCCTGGATCAACAAGAAGATCTTTTTTATTATTAATGCATGTAAAAGTTTGAGTATATGCGGGAAGTTTCAAGAATAAATTATATAGTGGTAATAACTAATAACTTGTTCCCGTGATACATGGTGACGTTTTTTAAATGATACTGCAAGTATCGATCCACGGATGAAAAACTGATTGAGAAATATTAGCATAAAAACACAATCCCACACTCTCCTCAACACATACTAGATATTGACATGTAAATATATTGCACTTAATGTGTCTTAACTTTATTGATTGTAAATAAAAAAAATACATATTTTTGTTCATACTGCGGAATAATATCTTTACTATTGATCTGCCATTTGCCATGCAACAATATCATCATGTGGCTACAATTGCGAATTTGAATTTATTGCTTGAAGTGAAGCAAGTAAGACAATATTCTGTTCCATACCATGCGCCATGTAATCCATAATTCCCATGTTTTCCATCACAAATAGGGCATGGCGAGTTCCACGGCTGAGGTAATGCAAAATTATAATTATCAATACCTCTAAAACTATTTCGGAATTTCAAGTATGGGAAGTGCTCTAAGACAGATTTAATAATTAATTCTGGATCGGGTCTGACTTCAAAAGTTATAGACCCTTTTTCTGGCTTCGAATTTATAACTTCCGATTCATGTACTTCTGTTAGTTGCCATGGCTCATTTCCAGTTTGTTTTTTATATCTTTTGTATAATTTGGAATGAATCTTATCTGTCAAAATACTTGGTAATCCAACTAATTTGATATGCCAATCCAGATATTCGGCGGTTAGTATTTTATCAGACTCAGTCATTTTCCTTTTTATATGATTGCAAACAATTTAAATCCCTTTTTCTTTCTCAGGTCATCAATTCGAAAAAAAGATTAAAAATTTTTTCAGATAGAAAGCTGTCTAATCATCTGGATTCTGGACTATGCAGTTATCTCAATTTCATGCTGTTCACATTTAATAAAGTAAGATCCGGCTTTATACTCACCTTCTATTTCTTCATCATCATGACCTAATTTGCATAATGGGCAGATGTAGTCCCCGCATGATGTCTCATCAGTAATCCCATAATAATCGAAATTTTCACAACTACATTCTCTATATAGATTAGGATATTGACCCAATACCTTGTTGCGAAAATAGGGTTGGTCATAAGTTGGCTTAGTCCTAGGAATTGGTGGATGAGATTGAGGTGCAGATAATACATTTGCCGATGTATTAACCTCAGTTGATTCTAAAGCCAGTGGAGCATTTATAATTCTTTCACTGGTTTCAGGATTTTTGTTTACATGATTTTGGCTGGGCCCTGGCTGAAATCTCAGTCATGTGACTTGATACTTCTTCCACATCACTGTTATCGTTATCATTATGCTTGGAGAAATTATCTATAATATCTTGAACTTTATCATTAGTCAACTCAGAAATAGAGTTTGCACTATATGTCGTAATATACTTAATATTATCCACGCCTACCTTTTCAAATAATTTATATATCTTCACAGCTTTCTGAGTTTTCCTTTGTAAGTTTTTACGGGAGATTTCTGGGAGACGCAATCCTGTCTTTTCAGATCGTTGCTTTCACAATATGGATAGGTGTTCCAATATTTTATCATAGATTATTCCCTTTGCCTTTTTTTCGCCTATTTTGCCTTTTCCATCTTGTACAATCACATTAATCTGGGTTAAAAATTCTTTTCCATAATAATACCAGCGCAAAATCTCTTCCTGATTAGCACGAATTGCGCCATATTCAGCATCATCCGCTTTATTGAATAATTGCGCTAGAGAAAGCAATGAATCTGTAGATGAATTTTGATTGAGATTCTCAATTGAAATCACATCACAAGGAATAGCTTTGTCACTCGATTGGGCATCATCCTTAATGCCATCAGCTATCAATTGTACGATATTTTCTGCGCCTTTCTTCCTATAGCTATTTTGGCTGGCTGAAATTTTAGTCACGGGATTCGATACCTCCGTATCTTTTCAGAAGTGGAGCACCTGGTGTAAGGATGGTGCCGTAATTGGGCAATTGCAGATTAATTGCGGATCTGCAATATTGCGGATTTGCGGATTTCAGAAGTCCAAATATCCGCAAATCCGCAAACCACAATTATCCGCAAATCCGTAAAAAATCTGCAAATTAGCCAATTAAATACTGTATCACGATCATTACTCAATCTATATATTTATATCGAATCATCAAATTTAGTATTATTACTCACTCTATTATAATATAATCAATTTATAATGCATCAAAACATCAAAACAATTGTATCTAAATTCTTC